GAAATATCTAAATGGCTTCTCCCCGTCGAGTGATTTCAGGTTTGATGCCCCAGAAACAGCGGGGCTGTATGCTCCGCCGTAAGGGGTCCAGTTCTGCAGCGCTGGGCCATTTAAAAATCATAAATTTCGTTAGGCATGCTGCGGTGGCTCTGATCTGGTGTGTGCGACAAATGATGCAATCCCAGGAGCCTGTAATGCGTTCCGCTTGGCAACCAACTCCAGCGTCCATTGGATGGAACATTTTCCCTAAAGCTGCCATCTTCCATTGATGAATCCTAAATGTCCTCTTCATGAAAAGTTTCTCATCATTGGTAAATCCAGAATCGGTGCATTGGAATGATATTTGGGCTTCTGGAATCACAAATTTTGTTCCCTTGCATGTCCGTACCAGAGACAAATCTCACCACAGCTGCCAGACACAGCCTTTTTCCGTGTTTCCCAAAACCGCGGACTTGTATACTGTATACATGTACTGGAAGCACGGTGCTGTGTTTTGGTCCTCTCCCTGTCACAGGAGCGGGTCAGGCGTCATGTCCATCCTATCCGTTGTGTTGAATGGCCATTACGTGTGACTGCCTATTACGGCTGATGAGTCACGGCCACGTGTATACACTCTAGAGAATGTGTCCAACCCAGATCCCCAAACAAAGGGACCCTAAGGACACACAACAACCTATTGCTATTCCAGCTGCAAATGCGCAGGCCAGCTGAAAGTGAACTGGGCTGGTGACTGGACCAGCAATCACGCCCGTCACAGGCTGTGACGTGACGGGGGCTGCGCTAGAGGTGGCCACCCGGATCCGTTAATAGCGGACAGAGGTTAATTCCGTTAATTAATCCGTTAATTAACGGAAAATAACGGAAAAAGACAAAAATTAACCAAAAATTAACGGATTTTTTGATTTTTTTGGGATTTTTGGGGTTTTTTCATACTTATAGTTTATGGAGTTCGCTATTAGAGAGTATGTTTGTATTTTATTTCAACCTATGCATACTAGATTTTCAACTAGCCGCAGTTGTTGTGATTTTTTGGGTTTTTTTTCGATTTTTTTGGATTTTTTTCGTTTTTTTTGAATTTTTCTCCCTTTTTCTGTAACGGAATTTAACGAACAGCTTATAAAAATTAACGAACCGGATTTAACGGAGCGGATGGCATCTTGAGTGGCCACCTCTAGGCTGCGCCCCTTTCTTGCCTATTCTGATAGCGCCTAACACGCTCAGAATTCCACAAAAAACTCAGTTGCCCTTTCAGTCGAGCAACTTCGCGAGCAAGGCCAGCAAGCTGAAGAGATTCACCACGCATCAATGACCTTGCCACTTGCCAACACAAGCTACACAGCTTCCTGAACAGCCTAGCTAGTCTTGCAATCAGAATAGGACCGTAGGCACTCAAGTTGACACAGAATAATGTCAGGAGTGCACCACCAAGAACTTTCCAGATTTGCACCAGCTGGTTGGTATTTATAAAAACACCCAACCAGTCGCTTACGTTTCTGTCAGGGTTGCTTATGCTACCCAATGACACTAACACGTCGTCAGAGTATATCCTGACGTCCAGCGTGGCTGTGTATGTATTATAGTGGCTGAGAAAGTCCCGCTACTTTTCAGTGGCCGTTTTCCAGCTTCGGCGCAACTGTACTATTTGTGCCTTTGTCAGTGAATGCCCCTTTCCGTTTTCCCTTGTCGATTTTGGGTTTGCCTTGACAGGGGCAGGGGGACACTCGGTCTGAGCACGCTTTGGCGGGGGCGTTTGTACGCTACAGTTTGGACTTCCCCCTTTCGGGCTCTCGCCCATTACAAGATCATATATATGCTGGAGTGCCTACTGCTGAGAAGGTTGCACCCGTTTTCAGAGCAGTTATAACGCCCTCCCACAGCTTCGCCTTTCTCTTATGATGTAATTCGCACTGCCATGTCGGCGAAAGCGAACGGAATTCGCACGAAGTTCGTTGGAGGTGATTGTGGGAAACACGGCTGTGGATTCACAGCATGCAACTTACAATTCAACACTTGTCATGGATTCCGCTTTCTTTCTGGGAATCCTTGTCACTTTTCAGCATGCATACAACTTACCATGAACAGTGCCACTTACTAGCATGCGATATGCTACGGCGATTTCTCTCGTCAGCCAGGCTCAGCCCTCGGAATCCCTTTCCAGGGGAAGGAATGCCTTGTCGCTTCGGGCGACAGATTCACACGGCGCTTCGCAACTCGCGGATTCGATTTAGGCTCAGCGATCTGGATTCGCACACAGAATTTGACGGCCACCGAACGTTCTTACACTTGGATCCGCATCCTACAATGTTTCAACACTCGTCTGCCATCAAGCACCTCGTGGTGCAAGGCGCGCCAGGTCGCCAGGGGCTAGAACACAATGTCAACAGCCCTGCCGCTATTTATAGACTAAACACCCCTTCCTGATCCCTCTAGAAACTTCCCTGATCCGTCCCTATCAAACCGCTGATCCCCAAGTTGTCACATCACCTAAGAACCTTCTAGATATCCAGAACCTTCCAGACTTCCATTACGTTATGACCACGACTACCTCACGGCTTCCCTAATCAGATCAGCGCCCTCCTGATCCGATTCCATGGCCTCCCGTCCAATCGCCCGCACGTCATGCGTCTCGTTGTCCGCAATTCGCCTGAGCCTGCCCTCGCTTGCTCCCCCATGCCTCTGCCATAAGCGCCAGCGCCTCGTTCGTGCCCCCTATCGCTGGGCAGATCTTCGCATCCAGCTAGCGCCTAGCAGTCCAGCTCGTCATGGATCCCAACGTTTCTTGCGCTGATCGCAGCCCCTCGTCGGCTTGCATATTCCATGCATGGCGAGGTAGGCCGCTGCCATGCAAGCAGCGCAACGCAGCCCATGCGATTTCGCCGTCTTCATCGCCGTCATCGAGCCCTGGCAGCCACACTCTCGCATCCATGCTCGAGCGCACCGCTGCATGCCACCGCCACCGTTCGTATGGCACTAAGGCGCTCCGCTTCCCTCTCGGCCAACGTCTTTCATGCTGACACCCCACACCGGCACGACGGCAGCTCCAACGAACGCCATGGCCTCTTGCGCAAGCGGGTCCCCTCGTTTCCCTCTGACACCGCGTGCAAAACGCCTCGGAGGCAGGCAGGGACACCGCCCGCCTTAAAACGGGTCAGTCGGGGGTCAGGGGCCAGAATCCGGGGCCTCGTACGGCATCCAAGGTTGCCATGACGCATTACTGCGCATGGCAGCCCTGGACGCTCTGTCCAAGGTGCACCAACGCCTCGTACGCACGTCGTTACTCCTACCGACATGTATGGGGTCACTGACTCGCACGTGCCAGATCATGGGACGCCGTATTGCACTTGTTGACCCATGTCAGCCTGTGAGGCTGACAAATTCAGGGCAAGCCACGGTGCACGGCTTCCCAGCGGTCCAAGGTGACCATGACGGACACCCACCAACACCCCGCCAAAGGGGCAGGCAGACCCTTGCCCACCTTCTGGGCCCTTTTGGGGTGGAATCACTGCATTTGTTTGGTTAGATTCAGGGGCAAAGGGCCCCCGTCGCCGGCATGGCTCTGTTGTATCTTCGTATCATGTAACTGATCCTTTTTGATGTCCAATGCTCTTCTCGCCCACCAACGCGCGGCCAGCTCCATCCATATACGCTCAGCATGGTGCCATCGTTTTTTGGCGTCCCCAAGGGGCGACGGACCCCAAGCACTTTGTCCAGTAGTTTGGATAGGCATCTCAAGGTGTACTAGCTCCTCAAAGGGCATTTTCAAGGGCAGGGACTGACCTTCCGACTCATGGCCCATTCTGAATGCTTGAACCCATGCGCAGGAATTCAGCACGTTGACTTTTCACATGTGGCCATAGACGTGAGATGGACCAGCTTGCCGTTTTAGACATTTCGCTGAACCGTCTTTGCTTTCTATCATAAGGCCATTCGAAAGCATATTTACGTCGATTGGTAATCGCCCTTGTCCTGGAGAATCACCGTCTTAAATTTACGCATCAGCTTGGGCAGATCGTCCGCACGGACTTCATGATGTCGCAGCGCATCAATACTGCAAAACATATAAACACCCGGGTCCATTCCGTTTAAGCATCGTGATTCATACACCTTGAGCTTTATAAAAGTTCAGTATATACAACGGCCCTGAAACTGTCCTTGAAAAGCACAGAGCCCCTGCCTTGTCCTTGTCAACTGCTCAGCCAATCTTACACCGGATCACTGAAATCCCTCAGAAACTATTCACCAAAACATTCACCCTATTTGTGACCCCAGAATCAAGACAGGAGCCTCAACACGTCATCAGCCGTCACTTGCAAATCCTCACGTCATCTCCCTACACCAGCCATATGGCTCCGCAGTGTGATAAGGCCATTCCCGGTACACTGATTTGATCACAACCTATCATGTCGTTACACACAGCCCGGTCAGTGAATTCCATCACTTTCATATTCCAGGGTTAGTCACCAGCATGTCCTGACGTACCAGGACTTAGTGACTAATGGTATGTTTAACAGATAATAAAAAGATGCAAAATGAACGTACTCGACGTCAAGTTTGCTGGCCAATACTGTAGGTTTTTAAACACTTCCGCATAGGAAAATTTTACTGTTGCGCTTTTTGCTCTGCATTTGTTTTCAGAGCGTTATTTTGGTTATCATTGCGCTGCTTTGCAAAATTTTTAGGAAAAGAGCGTTATATATTTATTGTTTTCTCCGCAATAAGGGCAAGCGTTACGTTACTATGCGAAGGGTTGAAAACCTACTGTACTTAACAACACTTGTACAAGTTGAGCCCCATTCTGTCTTCCCTCTGGGCAGGCCACTGGACCCCCCTGCCTTCTGCCGCGCCCAGCCGCAGTCCTCGCCCCCCATCCCACACCCGCGACCGAGGTGCCCCGGGGCACCCAACAAGGTCCCGCTTCCTCCCGGGGAGATCGCATCCCCCGCTTTATGCCGCGCGGAAACTCCAGGGCCACTCGCGGAGCCCACGGGCTCCTGGCGGCCATGCGGGGCGCCCTCCGGCGGCTGGGCTTGTCGATCGGGCAACTGGCCGATCGCGGCGCCGGCGCCAGCGATGGGGTCCGGGCGATGTCGTCCAGCGGCGGCCCGGTGACCGCGACGCTGTTCCCAGGCGACGGGATCGGGCCCGAGATTGCGGGCGCCGTGCGGGCGGTGTTCGAGGCGGCGGGCGCGGCGATCAGATGGGAGGAGCAGGTGGTGGGGAGCGAGGTGGACGCGCGAACGAACAGCATGGTCACGCGGGAGAATCTGGACTCCGTTCTGGTGAGTCGGGGTGGGCGCATGGTGTGGGGTGTGGGGGGGAAGATTTGTTGCAAAGCGGAGGAGAGGCGGGCCACACAAGAGGCACACCCTCCTGAGCAGGCGTGCGCAAGACTACTTTTGCGTCCTGTGAAGTTTTGGTGTGGGATGTCCGGGGAAAAGAGGGGCGGGGCGGGGAGGTGGGGGGACGCTGCGTGTACCCCGCCTGGGGATTGCGATGCTGGGGATGAATGGCGCGCGCGGGTGGCGGGTTGGCGGTGTGAGGGGGCGGTTGGGCCGTCGCGGCGCGTGCAGTGGGGGAGGGAGGGGCTCGGCGATTTGGAGCGATTGCGGGGGAAGGGTTTGATCGCCGCGACGGTTACACCGGGGAGGGGGCGGCTCCAGTACTTGGGACCTGCCTGGTTGCCTTGGAAGCCAGAGAGACTGGATTGCGCGATGGGGAGGTGGCTTGAGTTTCGCAGATCGCTGCTGGAGCGCCGCGCTGATCCGATCGTTCTGGGACGCTGGGGCGGGGAGGGGCCCGAATGTGTGCCAAAGTTGGAGGCGCTGAATGCGGTGCTGGTGCATTGCGGCAGAAAAACAAGATCGGGCTGAAGGGCCCGATGATGACGCCCGTGGGGAAGGGCTTTCGGTCGCTGAACCTGACCCTGCGCAAGGAGCTGGGGCTGTACGCCAACGTGCGGCCGTGCCTGTCGATCCCGGGGTACAAGACGCGCTACGACGGCGTGAATTTGGTGACGGTGAGGGAGAACACTGAGGGGGAATACAGCGGGCTGGAGCACGAGGTGGTGCCCGGCGTAGTGGAGAGCCTAAAGGTGGGGCGATGCGGGGGACGCTGAGCCATTGAATTATTGAAGCAATTGGGAGTCAGGTTCTTCGGACCTTTGTGGGCATCCAGGCGGTTTCGCAACTGAACAGTCTGAAGCAGGATCAAGGGGTTCCACACCGGCGACGCAGAGGCATCGAGCCGTTTGGACTGGCCGTGTGTGTCCGGAAACGGCCAGTTTTTTGTGAGGGATGTTGGTGCAGAGAAGAGATGCTGCAATTGTGATCTGCCACCCTAAATGAGCAGCGACACATCGAGGAGCAGAAAGGAACTGTAACTCGCACAGGGCCCGCCAGCGACAGGAGATAAACAACCTGCAGATGGCAGGAGAAGAGTCTGTGAGGAGTCAGTTCACGTTGTTGAATGAAAGGAAAAGTGTGGATGCCCACGGCAAGAAATGTTAGAGTTCCGCAAACGAGTTGACACTTGTCTGCAAAGCCAAGCACTGTTGCACTGAGAGTCCTGTTTTGATGGCCGTGTCCTTCATATGGGAAGCATGTTGCTCAGAAGAAGAGACATTTGATGTGTGTGCTGATGCCAAAGCCTCGAGTATATTGCCATCCGGTCCCCCTGCAGGCATTACAATTCTGACTTTGCCCCACTGTGGTTGCTGCTGGAGAGGCAATAACCAATACGGGCGCCCTTCACTTGCGAAGCAATCAATGTTTGAGACTGACTCCATGCAGGGATTTTGATGGCTTCCCACATGTGCAGGTCATAACAAGGGACGCAAGTAAGCGCATTGCTGAGTTCGCCTTCAAATATGCAAATGACAACCACCGCAAGAAGGTATCAGCCATCCACAAGGCTAATATCATGAAGAAGGCCGATGGTCTGTTCATCGAGTGCTGCAGGGAGGTCTCCGAGGTGTACCCAGACATCGTGTACGAGGAGCTTATCGTTGACAATGCATGCATGCAGCTCGTCAGAGACCCAACTCAGTTTGACGTCCTGGTGATGCCCAACCTGTATGGTGACATCATCAGTGATCTGTGTGCTGGCCTTATTGGCGGCCTGGGTCTGACCCCCAGTGGAAACATAGGTACGGCAAGCATCTCTCAACCTCAAGCCCGCATGTGTTCCACATCTCCTGTTCCCCCTGTGTGCTGGGTTGTTTGCAGCATCCTTTTGACTGATCCACTAAGCACATATTCTACACCCAAGTGCTGCTTGGTGTCTACCCGAATCCATAAAAGGAATGGTAGTGACCTCCAATGAGCAGAAGCACTATAGCGATCGATTGGGATTTGGTTTTTGGATTTGGCGATGGACTTTTTGCCCTGCTGCATCTTTCTCCCAACCATCTTTGGCATGTCCCGGTGTGCTTTCATTGCACATGCTTTGCCCTTTAGATGCTTTGAGGCACCATTGCCACCACTGCCATTGTTTCCAAGACGTCCTCCTGGCGTCAAATTTTGACAAAACACAGTTCATTGCCCCTTTGGAAGAGTGGTGCAAGTCCATTCCCACAACAACAAAGTGTGACTCTGTGATGTCGGGCCGTCCAGCCCTGCTAGTCGAATGGACAGTTGTGCATGCGATAAAGAATACCCGCAACCTTCCTGCTTACACTAGGCCTGTTGTTGCTGCAGCGACATTGTACAAAAAAACGAAATGTTTAGTATAACCAAGTCGGTATCCGTCCTAGGTTGATTCAAGTCAATGTTGCTCTCATACAGCACACTGCTTGGTGATAGAATATTGAATAGTGGCAGAGTTTTGGAACAGGAGAAGCACGCCATCGGCCATCCTGGTTGGAAACGAACACTGCCAGCCCCATCGAGGAGCTGCACTGCTGAGCTGTGAACACTGGAGAGTTTATCAGCATCAGATGGAGACATCTCCAGGTCATTTAGCCTCCTGCAAATTCGATATCTGAGTGAAAGCAACAGCAGCTGTGACACTTACGCCATTGATTTGGAAACGGCAGGGAGTGTGACTCCAGCAGGTGTGTAGAGTCAGTGGCAATTACGCATTGCGGCGAATGAAATTGCGGAGAATGTGTCCGCAGGCAAGGGAGGTCTGGCCCTCATGGAAGCGGTCCATGGCACGGCGCCTGACATTGCGGGCCAGGACAAGGCCAACCCGACGGCGCTTCTCATGAGCGGCGTCATGATGCTGAGGCACCTGGGCATGCGGGAGGTGGCGGAGAAGATCGAAGCAGCCACGCTGGCCACCATCGCTGAAGGAAAGTACAGGACTGGTGACCTTGGGGGCACGGCCACGTGCTCCGACTTTACAAAGAGCATATGCGACAAGATTAAGTGAGTCGTTCGGGTGGAATGTGAACCCGCCGCCAAGTGAAGAGTGGGGGCAGGAAGTGATGGACAACGCAGCCTTCACCAGGAACACCTGCGTTGGGAAATTTGTGCGTCTGCGGCTGGCGCTGCCATGGGCGTGATTGGTTGCAGGCTCGGTCAAAAGCCCTGCGCTGCAGAATGAATGACCCTCCAGGAACGGTAGTGTGATTGCGCAAATTCAGATCCACACAAGGGATGGCCTGCTGGCAAGCAGTGGTGTCCGTCGCTCCAGAGTGGAAGCTCTCCAGATTCATGCCGTGGGCAAAGTGGACGTGCCGGTTTTTCAAGAGCAAGCCCTCCCACCTGAAGGGTGATTGAGTTGACGAGTGCCGGCACATGCATGCCCAGTCGCATAATTATCACCCGCACAGGAGAGCGCGAGCGGCTGCCATGAGTGTGAAGGGAGGACAGGGCAAAATCCTCATTTCTCCTGCGTCTGAGAACTATGCTTGGCTCGCGAATCCAGTGGATTGGCAGCGGCACAAATCTCGGCGGTGCTGCCTGTATTCCAAACCAGCACCACTGAGACAAAACCGACTGGAGTGCATGGACATCGCAGATACCACGTTTCTGACAAATGCATTCACAGTGGCAAACAACAGGTGCATTGCACCACAACCACAATGACATACAATCTTCTCCCAAATGACAAGACCATGATGCTGAACAACAGACCCCTGCATGAGATTGTTATCGATGGGGCGCACGTCCGCGTGCAAGAGCCCACGAGGGCCCCATCTGGCCAACGCCAAAATCGACGGCTGCCACTCCGCCACGCCGCCTGCGCTGAGCTACTGCCCACAAGACAGCCACTGTACCATTGCAAAGGAGCCTTGGAGGCATCAAAACACACGCTACTGTACACCTGCCGTCCACAAAGACCCAAATCCAGTCTGGTGACCGTCCAGTTCATCGCCATGGGGCGAGTCCACAGTTGACACCCCATCCCCTGTCAATATAGCTGCAATACTATCCCCTGCGCAAGAGTCACACAAGGCCCGCCACCATATCTGAACGCAGCCACGACGAAATGCCACGCTTGGTGTGAATTTCAGCAAAGTCCTGGAGGACTGGGCCCGCGTGCCCGCCCAAGAGGGGGGGCCCATCGCAACGACTCGATGTGCCGCAGGCGCACATGGCCTATTCGTCGGCCCCTATCGTTTGCCACCCCACCCCCGCCTAAATTGTGGCTCCATTGTACGAACCGACAACAATCAATAATGCTAGAATAATCAGCGAATCGAATTCGTGTTCTTGAGTCAATCCCAGGAGCCCAACCCACACACTGCACACACACGATTGGGGTCGCCTCTCTTTGCAGGGACCGACATGCGACTTCCCAAGTACATTCCCCACAATGTCTCTCGTACTCAAGTAAAGGCCACGTCTTGCCTCGCTTCGTTTCCACCTACAGTTTCTTGTCAGCGCACCCAGATACTCACACGAGCCACAACAATGATAGTATACGACACGAACAAAGAAAACAGCCGGAATCGCGTGGGCATCGCGTCTCTGACTCCATCAAGGCTGCAGTGTCGTCTTCGTAGAAGCCCGAACGTCATCCACAAAGTTTGGTTCGCTTCGAATTGCCGTCTGTTCTGGCCACCGGCCAATTGCAGTCGTCCGTTAGTGGGCCATTGCTTGTCGGCACACAGATCACAGCAGTGTGTAAAAGTGCTTGGACAGGTTGCAGGCCCGGCACCTGGCGCCGTTGCGCAGGCTGCAGCTCATGGCCATGCCGCGCTTGCCATGCTGCCCAGCGACGCTGGGGTGCAGAATGCGGGACAGCAGCTCGATACCGTCCACCAGGCGGGGGCCGGGGATGGTGAACAGCGAGTGGTTGCACACGTACAGGTGGCCCGTCCTCATCGCTGGCAGGGTCCACCAGCCTGGCAGGCTAGCCAACTGAGCCAGCTCCAGCTTGGTCTCCTCCCACGTGGAGGCCGCAAGGATCAGCACCTCAGGCTCCAGTTCCCTCAGTTCCTGCAAGGACATGTCCGCTTTCAGCACTCTTTCCTTCTTTGGTGACATTTGTTCAGCCAGTGTTTTGCTGCATTGGTGGCTTGGCGCCAGGCTTGAAGTGCATTCAACACGTTTGTTGGGCTTCCTGGCACAGCCACTGGCCTGACAATCTACCTGGGATCTTCAGCGTGTCTCTTGGCTTGAGGATTTCACAGGCACAAACAAGTCCAGGGCCTAGGTGCACTTTCCACTAAATTGCTAAGCTTGGCTCGCCTACCGCACCCACGTATGCCTCCCAAATTGTGCCATGTGGAATGCAAACTAAGTGAAGCCCACTCACGAAGAGTTCAAGGCAGTGCACAATGTAGCAAGTGGGCCAAAAGAATGTCAGCTCAGCACCGGTGCTGGTCAGAGCGCCTTCATAGTGTGCAGCTGTGTGGAAAACCAAGAGACAGCAGGCCCAAGATTCTCCAGGCGCTGTGCATTTGACAAACACATCAGACAAACAGATCATGTTTTGTCTGTTGCATTCACCGCACCAGCGATGCCCCAAAAATGCTACAAGCTGGACGTTGCTCTGCGCTGGATACAAGGAATTTCACACAAGGTCAGTCTATCAATACCCATCGAATTCGTCATGACAATCGGGAATCATCCTCACCTGCCAGGATATGCGCAGATGAGGCCGTCCTACATGGTTGCCCTCTGCCACCCCACCAGCCAGCATCACCATCTCAGGTATCCAGTGTCCACCCACCACAAGCGGGTTCAGACCTGTCAAGACCACTACACTCTCGCGGGGCAGGTTGGAGGACACGAGGGAGCCCACCCGGGCGACACGGCTCCGCAGGGCGTCCACGATGCGCTGCACGGCATCCACAGCGCCTGTCGCGTCGCCCACCTTCAGCATGAAGTTGAATACCTCGCTGAGGCGATGGCACTGGAGGGAGAGCACAACGGTGTTGTTGTTGGGGCGCAGGCCCCCTATGGAGCTGGCTCTGGAGTTGAACAGCTGGCAGCAGAGCAGGAACAGCTGTCAGAAACCACCAACAACCTGTGCCACCAATGATGACAAAGTGCCCAAGAAAGCACTGATGGAAACACTAAACAGTAGCATCGTTGGTACGTGCTGATTCAATTCGCCAACTCTATTGAGAGGAATCCTTCCTGTGGAGCGCTGGATCGCATCGCACTGTGCTGTTATGGTGTACCAGCAGTCAATGAATCAACATCTAGCAGGACAAGGGATACTGGGAAGCACAAGGACACAGTGTGTCTTCAGAAAGGAAAAGCACATCACTTGGGAACTTCCATAGCGGTGTGGCACGTTGATTTCCATTATACTGCACACCTTTTCCACAGTTTCTCTGCCTGGGTCCCCCCCCTCCTCCACCAGCACCACCCCAGGTTGTGCACTCCTCAAAAACCCCTCATTCAGCTCAAAAGCTGACTCCCTCCTGCACCAGAAGTCCTTCAGTTTCATCTCCAGCCGACCCTTGTCCAGCCTTGAAGTGTCGAAGCGTGTGCGTGCCACCACCATCCGCCCCTCACGCGCCTCAGCTGGGTAGTCGCACAGGTTGGTCACCCCCACCAAACGACCATCCAGCCCCAGGGCAAACACAATCTCCGTGCAGGTGCTGGACATCGACACGATCTTCTCATTGAGCTGGTGCTTCTCAGCCAGCGACCTTGGCACCATAAACTCTGTACAGGAAGAGGCGGACGACTCGATTGGGGGGGAGGCCCGTCCAGTTGTCGATGCCAGAGAAGAGTCAGACCTCTTTGCCCTGTCTGCTGCGTCCCGATTCATGGCCCCTTTCCAGTTCGAAAGGCCCAACAAAAAGCGCTCCCCCTTCTTGCCAGCCCCATCTTCAAGGTCTGCTGATGCCACTGAGGTCCAAAGGCCCGTGGAGATGCGCCATGTGTGCTGGGCATGCTCCATGCTGTATCTGTGGAGCTTCATCTGGTCACTCCTGTCCTTGGTGTGCACCCCACCTTTCATGCTGTCCATGTTGTCAAAGCTGGCCGAGCGGGCGATGCGCGGGAGCTTGGTGGCTTTCAGGTCTGAGTTAAAGCCATGCTTCTGCGGCGATTTGCCCACTGGGTTGCTGGCGACCTTCACCGCCTGCGCCACAGACTCGAATACCTGCAGCCAAAATACTTATACTGTTACTGCACGTTTCCAATAAAGCAGCAAACGATCAAAATTGTCTGAACAGCATATGCAGTTTGCTGAGGCAAGCTCAAGTGAATCGGTAGTTTCACTGGCACATGCATTAACTCAGGCATCAGTGAAACATTGTAAGGAAAATGAAGCAAGCAGGTACTGAGTTGGGGTTTGGGTGCCTCTCATTCCCTCTTTGCAACTGATGATGTGGTCAGGACATTTTGGTGTCTTGTTCAAGTGATGCAGTATTGTGGTACGGCCAACGAAAAGGAAAGGCACCATTGCCACCACCACGACATTCATGCTGTACCCAGGTATGCACTCCTTGCATCTCAATATGATCATCGGCAAACAGCATTCCACCAAGAAAATCAGAAATGGAAACGAATCCTGACTGGAATCCTCTTTCATGCCCCACAGGCTGCCTTGACGATCTCAGCACATAACCAACACCTTGCAGGACACACAACAGACTCCTTGCACAGCTGCTGCGGCTCACTGAGTACATCTGCATGTTGCCCACTTTGTGTTGCTGCGAGTTGGAAAACTTAGCCTTGGTTATGACATCATGGGCTAGATGCTTGCTGCCAGCCAGGCACTCAGGCTTGTGATAGAATTCTACCAGGCACACAGCCAATCAGCATCTTCTATGCTGGCCCTGCTCGCCCTTGGAAGGTAGCTGCTGGCCAGCAGGCACCCTGTGCCCACCTTCACAACATCCACCTCCTGCGATTTTGTCACAAGGGTGCTGGCGGCCTCGGGCGAGCTTGCAAACTGCAGGTGCACGTAGCTTGCAACCACATTATTCCATGAGTAGCCCTCATACGTGGCCACTGCACTCTCATCATCCTGAGGATGCAGGCGGTATACAAAGCTGTAGCCGCTCTGCTCTGAGCACACAGACCCAAAGGCTGAACGAACGATCTCTTCGACCACCTGGGAGCGGTGGGACACATGGCCGTGAATGCGGCCACCTGGGGGCAGCACGCGGCTGTGGTCCAGCACTTCCACCTCCACATAGCCACTCCGCCAAATGGACTCAGGTGCCATTCGTGTACGGAATGGGAACACGCCAACTGCAGCATAAATACGTGATCTCATTAGTGCCATGGCCGCCAGGAGTGAGTTGCTGCTGCTGCTGCTGCTCGATCACAGTATGTGGAAGCTCAATGCTTCACAGCATTATGCCTATATGCCAACCAGTTGTTCTCCAGTGTCCTCCACCTGGGATCCAAATCATGATACGCTGAATGCACGCAGAGTAAGGGGTGGACATTGTCACAGTGCAAGACCCCCCACTGTGTGCACCAGGTTATGCTGCTGCAAACCAAGCAGGTGCAGCAGAAGCAAGGCTCTTCAGAAATTATTGCATCAAGCATGTTTGGTAGGCTTCTTTCCAGCAACGGCTGCCCTTGGTCGCCTGGAACATGCCTGCTTGTTCTGAATTCCTTTACAACCATAAGTGCACATCAGCTGCAAAAGGGATCATACCCTCACCTAGTTCGTTGGGAAATTCCCCAATGTTTTGGATGCTCTTTGACAGGTACAGCAGGCCACCTCCCTCCGCATAAACGACTCCTCCAGCTGCGGCAAAAGCATGTATCGATGCAAGCAGTGTCTTGTTCTGTGTGAGGCGCTTGGCATACGCCTCTGGGTGGCCGCCACCGAGATAGATGGCAGCCACGCCAGAGGGGAGCTGCTCATCTTGCAGCGGGGAGAAAAATACCAATTCTGCGCCGAAGGCCTCCAGCATCACGAAGTTTCTAATCGCAAGGAAGATGCACTGTCAGATAGTGATTGAGAGAAGTGCGTGAAGCCATTCACCTTCACAGAACTGCCACTGATTGATCATGAGCAACATTTCCAGTACTTGCCACAATATCCCCTCAGACGCACCACTCCAAGATTTGTTTGAGCCAACTGACATATGCCGCACAATACATCGCACAGCGCAGCAGTGCTGGTCAAAGCACTGGAAGCAGGCAGCACATTAAATTTCCTGCCTGGCTTTGCCGCAGAGCAAGGGACATCCCCATGGGCAAAATGGCCGTGCCTGTGGAACATGTCCTCCTCAACAACGTAGAGTAGACCGCATACACGGCAACCCCTGTGCATGAGATTCTGTGACTTGTTTCCAGTATGAATATTCCAATATTTCCAACATAAAGTTGCCTTGGTCGTCGCCTAGCGCGAATGGATCAACACCCGACTGCCTGCAGATCGATCAGGACTCACTCGTGGTAGTAAAAGGAGAAGGCATCGTCCTTGGCCACGGCTATCTTCACCGGGGCGGAGAGCGGGGGTCCCAGCGACAGCTTGAGGTCTGGGCACTTTGGGATCTTAGACGTCTCGGCCATCTCCAGGACCTTGTCAATGTCGACGGATGCCGTCACCAAATCTCCAAGCGCGGAGGCATACTTCTCGGGCGTCATCGCCCCATTGGACAGGTGCTGCGCCCAGCGCCACTCTTCCAGGTCCACCACGTCGTCGCTCTGCGTACGGACCCGCGAAAGTCTCAGGGAGAAGAAACAAAGAGAAGGTCGAAAATCGGCGTCAATGGACGCAAATGCACCGCCCTTGTGAGAGCCGCCTTCGGAGCCTTTCGCAAGCTGCGGAGGGTCTCCGCCGGGGGATCCCTCGCGGCGTCGCGCCCACGCGGGACGGCCGGTCTTTCCCGAGCCGACCGCCGAACAAGGAGCGCGCAAAGCCCCCCCTCTTCTTGGGCTCGCAGACTCGTTGCATACTCCGCAGAGCTTCGCTCACATTCGTCCTTAGAACGCGACCAAGCAGCAGAAAGGCGGGCGCGGGTGGGGGCGGGGGCAGGGGATTTGGGGGGTTGAAAACACTGGGCGAGCAGCACATTTCCATCCAGTCCTGCTCAAACCCACGGCCGTCTCCTCCACCGTGCGGCGGCACCAATGCGCCCGTAAAGCCCGCCGCCCCTCTCCCTTTGCGCTGGGCCCCCCCTTCCCCGCTCACCATCGGCAGCGCGCCCAGCACCGTCGCCTTCACCCCGCCCTTGCGCATCGCCTCCCGGATCCCGTCGCCGTGGCCGGCCCCGGACACCCGGTTGAGCACGACACCAGCCACGCGCAGCCGACGGTCGAATCCCTCGAACCCCCGCACCAGCGGCGCGGCGCTGTGGCCCAGCGGGGCGGCATCGATCACCAGCACCACGGGCGCGCCCAGCAGTTTGGCCACGCCCGCCGTGCTCCAGGCGCCGGCGTCGGGCGCCGACGATCCGTCGAACAGGCCCTGGAAGCCGTCCACGACGGCGACGTCCGACTCCGGCGCGTAGCGGTGCACGCAGGCCAGCAAGTGCTCCTGCGGCGCCATCCAGGGATCCAGGTTGACGCACATGCGCCCAGTGGCCGCCTCAACCAGCTTGCTGTCGCTGAAGCCTGCGGACATTCGACGATGATCCATGATTGGAAACTTCGGCGCACGGTCCGGGTGCGGGGCGTGAACAGTGTCAGGCGCAGATTGGAGGGCCCTTTGGCACACAGGGAGGGCGGGGGAGGGATGGGGGATTCGACGGTCGAGCCGGCGTGTGGAACGCGACGCGACGGGGATGCACGTCGTCGGGGTTTGGACGAGCCGACGAGGGTTGGGCCAGGTTCGTGCAGGCGCACCTGGTCCGATCTTGAAGCCCTGCACGCGCAGGCCCCGCCGCCTGGGAGCAAACACACAAATGGGGATTGGGTAAGCGCAGGCTGCCGACCTTCGCGACGCTGGGGCCCGCCCGAGGACGGTTCCCCATCCGCCGGCACCAATGCCATCCGCGGGCCCCAACACCGTCCGCGAAGGGGATTCAGGCGCCCCACGCGATGGCAAAGATCGGTAAAATCAACCCCGGTGTCCATCGCCCGCCGCCGGGCGCGCCCGCAGAGCGCGGGATGCGCGGGACTCCGCCGGCCAGGCGCTTACCTCAGCGCGTCCATGACCCCGGCGGCCACGGACGTGGCGCCCACACCGCAAAACGTCCCCGCCACCACCACCACCCTCATCTTCCCCGCCGGACCTCCCTGCCCCAATCGCCCGCCGACGCTATGAGATGCCCGCCCTCCGGCCCTCCCGTCCCCTCATGCACACACCCCCCTGGCAACGAATCTTTCGCGCCGCCTGCTTGGCGGCGCTCGGGCGGCCGCCCCGCCGGCTACGTCTGGTCGGTCGCTTTCCGCTATGGCGGGCGCTCCCTCATGCCAGGACGTCGTGCGGCCTGGACACTAACTGCGGGCCCCAGCGTCGGTGCGGGCGGCCTGATCCGGCGGAAAGATTTGAGGGGGCGCGGAGGCCTGGGGAATGGGGCCCGGAATGGAGGAGGGCGGGGGGCAGGTCGTACAGGGGGCCGCTTTCTGGGGCCACGTGAGCGCGGCAGTGGGGACTTCACTGCTGGCTTTAAGGGGGAAAGTGAGGCCGATGGAGATTCTTCTCGCATGCTCCTCTCCGGCAGTGAGACTACAAGGAGGGATTTGTCAACCGTTGAAAGAAGAGCCATGTCATGCACGAGTGCACGGGTATTTGTCACACTCGGTGCCGCCCGATCGCTGCTTGCGCGTAATTGGTCTACGAAGCGTCGGGTGTGGCGATTTTCTGAGTACCCCGCCTGAACTATGTACCTTAAGGATTGATTGCGATATGCTAACTGAAGTATAGGAAAGTCTATGCATGTTGGGATGTGTTGTAGTTGGTTGTGAAGGCTGTAGGCTGTGCCCTGCCCGTACGAAGAGGATATGACGATATTGGAGATGTGTGCTGCCATGTGAGAGTATCCCATGAAGACTAGTGACACCAAGCACCCTTGAACCGGAGGCTTTGATGACGGAAGACAACCTTCTGTGGGAATGTGTTGACGACCTGAGGACGTGCCACCCTGTATGATTGCTGCCCGATGCCAGGAAGACGAGCTGGACCGCTGAGGAGGCGACGGACCAATAGAGGAGGTGCTCAACCATTGGATCTGACGGTGGGAGGTCCGGAGAGGTGCCACACCGCGAGCTGTGCCCCAGCGTGACGATTCAGAGCTTGTACCTTGTGCACTTGACGGGTGTAGTAGAGTTCTGGGCTGCATAGGCGATCCCCGCGGCTTAGGCAGGGTAAGGCACCATGGGTAACGCAGTCGGCGGCTTACCCAGGGTAAGGCACCATGGGTAACGCAGCCAGCGGCGTACCCAGGGTAAGGCACCATGGGTAACGCAGTCAGTGGCTTACCCAGGATAAGGATACCATGGGTAAGACAGCCGGTGGACTAGGCCGGGTAAGGATACCATGGGTAAGGCAGCCGGTGGATTGGGACGGGTAAGGATACCATGGGTAAGACAGCCACGGGTTAGACACCCTGGGTAACGCACCCCGCGGCTTCGGAAGGGTAAGGATACCCTGGGTAACGCAGGCTAGTACTTAGACGGGAGTAGCCAGTATGTTGAGACGTGGGAGGCGCACCCTGGGTAAAAGGTACATTCGTACCTTGTATGAAATTGAAGGGACCTTTCAGGGAACCCTGGTAACGGTGCCGCGCCGGCGGCTCGGGTATTTAAAGACACACGGCTTCACTTGTAACGAACAACTGCGAACCTTGGGCCCACCTCGCTGTTGTGTGTGTGTATCTTTCGGGGATTGTACCCCGCTGAGTGGAGAACATGCCGCGCTGACAGACGCCCATTGTGGGTGCACTTCGCCGTCGAGTTTAGCTCGGACGGGCGAGCGTCTCAATTCGTGCGTGACCGGCTCATTGCTGGAAGATTTGCCATTGGGACGCCATTTCTGCGGTGGTTCGAGGCTTGGTTTCGGAGCGCAGGGCGGTTTCCCGAGGCGGGACTCCGCTGGGTGCTGTGCGAACGGTAAGGAAAAGTGAAGGTAAGGAGCGATCAAAGGAATGGCGCGTGACGGAAGTCCAGTTTCCTCTGATGGCAGGGAGACCCCGGAATGGCGCGGGGACGATATTCCTGTTCTTGATGCTCCAGTGGCTCGCGATAGGGCCCCCTTGACGGTAATTGGAAGTGGCGATGCCGCCTTTGTGATTCATGATGAAAGGGAGGGACACCGCCCTCCCACAGCGAATGGGTCAGGGAGTTCCCTTCAATCTCCCCCACCAGGACGCCCGGGTGCTTACCGACGTCTTTTGGAAGAACGCGCGCGGGAGGAACGAGCCCGCGAGGAGCGCGCTGGGCGACCCCGCGCCCACTCGGTGGAAGGCCGAATGGCTATGCCATCCCCAGGCTTACTGGAACTCCAGGAGTCGAGGGAAAACGATGAGAATGAGGATCCCCGGTATGTAAGGCAGAGGCCCAATGGCCGCCCGGGGCATAGCAATGACAGGGAACCTCGAGGTAGGGAGATTTCCCAGGGAGCCCCCCCCATCCAGGCGGCGGTCTCCACGGCGAGACCCGCCGGAGATGGTTCCTTCACCCTCGGAAACGAAAACAGGGCAGCGCTCCCGTTCCCGGAAGGGACGCCGAACTAAGGACCGGCGACATGCCAAGCATGACCGGTCACCTAGTAGCGACTCCAGCAGTGAGTCGGATAGCGACAGACGGAGGTCACATTCCCGTCGCCGAAAGAAACGGTCGCACAAGGTGTCGGACAGCCGTACCCCCCGACGGCACTCTTCG